CAGAGGGCAAGAATCTTCACCCTGTAATCTCCATGTGTTTCAGAGCTCTCCTTACATGGTGGGCATTCGAAAAGCCATTTGTAAATGAATGCATACTATGCAGTTAATATAATATTAACACAACAAAATAAAAAATAACATTTGCTTATCTTAAAAGTCCAGAGGTAGCTATATCTTGAGGTAGTACATTCAGACCCTGTAGCTCCTAGCATCTTTTCAGACACACCCAGGTACCCATCCAGGCTCATCCACTCTAGAGGGTGGGCAAGGCTAGGATGGAAGCCACCTCCCTGCTGTGGAATGATAAGTCCTGGTCAGTGCTTCTGAGCCTGCTCATGGCCCTATGCCTCTTGTCTAGCTAACTCTTCTGCTACATCATGCCTGCTGGGACTCCTCTGATCTCCTTTCTTCCCCTTCACACAGCCTCTCTTTACCTCTTCCGTGTCTCTCTCGCCATCATTAAGTGATTATTTCTTCCTTAGTATTCCAATTTTGAGCATTCCTAACTCTGATCTGTAGGCATTTCTAATGTAACTATATCTAAAGTGACTGTCCCTGTTTGACTATGCAGGAGGGGGTAGCTTAAGAGAAGCCATGCTTTTCCACTGTTATTTTATTTGGCCAAATACCTAAAGAGAAGTCAACCCACTGGGGATCCCCCATAAACACCCACAAAAGAGCTAAACAGCAAGGAAGGAATTATGCAAAGATAATTCAGCACTGTCCCAATGGAGATACCAAATATCTTGACTGAGGTCACTGAATATCATCATAAAAATCTGACGGTTCTATCCTGAGTGAGGTAAGCCAGACCCAAAAAGAGGAACATGGGATGTACTCACTCATATTTGGTTTCTAGCCATAAATAAAGGACATTGAGCTTATAATTCGCGATCCTAGAGAAGCTAAATAAGAAGGTGAATCCAAAGACAAACATATAGGCATCCTCCTGAATATTAACCTTCATCAGGCGATGAAAGGAGACAGAGACCCACATTGGAGCACCGGACAGAAATCTCAAGGTCCAAATCAGGAGCAGAAGGAGAGGGAGCACGAGCAAGGAACTCAGGACCGCAAGGGGTACACCCACACATTGAGACAATGGAGATGTTCTATCAGGAACTCACCAAGGCCAGCTGGCCTGGGTCTGAAAAAGCATGGGATAAAACTGGACTTGCTGAACATAGCAGACAATGAGGACTACTGAGAACTCAAGAACAATGGCAATGGGTTTTTGATCCTATTGCACATACTGGCTTTGGGGGAGCCTAGGCAGTTTGGATGCTCACCTTACTAGACCCGGATGGAGGTGGGCGGTCCTTGGACTTCCCACAGGTCAGGGAACCCTGATTGCTCTTTGAGCTGATGAGGGAGGGGGTCTTGATTGGGGGAGGGGGAGGGAAATGGGAGGCGGTGGCGGGGAGGAGGCAGAAATCCTTAATAAATAAATAAATTAAAAAAAATCTGACGGTTCTTTATCCCATAATAGGGGAGAATAACTTCCCTACCTAGGTCTCATGGAGTGGGACTTCAGCTAGACACTAGAGAACAAACACCTTTGTTTGTTACTAATGCACAGGTCATAGATTTTGCAACACATTCTAAATTCCAAAGTTGATTCATCAGACATGGGGATAGCTAGACTGAAGATAAAGCATGTCTGATATAACCATGCATCTACTGATTTGTGGCGTTCAAACAGAACACTGGTAAGAGTTCTGTTGCCTGGAACGAACATTGAAATCTAGCCAATGCACTCACCAAGTTAGAGACACAGACATGTAACACACATCACTGTGTATGGAGATGATAATTTCACATTTATTACACCCTAATGCATAGATTACCAGAGCACTTCCAAGAAAACGTTTATTAAAGGGTTTTAAAAAGCAGTAAACACAGGAAGTCAGTGCACACATTCTTGAGTCTGCCCACTTGGGTTTTAATTAAAGCTCTACCATTTAGCATGCTCCTGCTTCAGTTCCTACAGAAGTGATTTATAGATGATTAGGTTGAATAGTGATGAGAATTATATGAGCTAAGGAACATAAAAGAGTTAGAACAATGCACACACCTCGCGGTTGTTCTTTGACTTCTGTCTGGTGGCAACATTTCTGAGTCTAACACTCAGCAGGGTTTTCCCATGTGTTTCTGTAGTGACAACACACTAATTGAACCGCCACAGAAGCAGATACCTTCTCTGTTCTCAAATCCCAGCCCAGGAAAGACATTTGTCATGACACTTTGTGTCCAGCACCTCTACCAATCTTGTTGAAAAGCTGGCTGATTGACTGAACGCGTCATTATGGAATTAACGGGAATCGTACGGATGCACGTGTATCTAGCACAGAAGCACTGGAGGCTGCCATCTGCCTTGCTGTTCCTCCACCTCCCTCATCCCATCCTCATCAACACAGCCTGAAGTCAGGTGTCTGGTAATAATCTAGGGACCAGGACAGCTTCATTGTATCGAACACTGTTCCTTCTCACAAAAAGCAGGATGAACTGTTGCCCACTTCCACTCTTTCTGCCTCCCACACTGCAGGAAAATAAAGCTCCCTAGATAGAAGAGCCTTCTAGTATGGATGCCAGACCGCACTCTGCAGACTGGGCCCTCCACAGCATGATGTCAGCAGGCAAATCACCTGGACTTGCCCTGTCTAATTTCCCAACCCACATTGCTGTGATGTTACTGTCCAGTAGACCCACTCACGGGGCTTTAAGGGGTAAAGTCATTGGGAAGTAAGGATGGGGAGATGCCAGATACTGGAGCTGTAGGGGTAGGATGCTATTCTCATAAATGACCATAGGATCATTTACCCATAGCTTGATCCTTGAAGCCTGAACATTGGATTTTTGTATTAAAAATATACATATTCAAAGGGGAAATGTACTGAAATACATTAAGTTACAAAGATAAGAAATGATGATAAATAATAGGCAACTTCTACACCAAAAAATGATGGAACGCAAAATTGTTTTTAGAATTGTTTAAAGAGCAAAATTGTTTAAAGAGCAATGACACTCAATCAGCTGTGTTTAGTCATAAGGCTAAAATGGATGGAGCTTGCAGAACAGAAATGAGAAAAGTAGGTCATATTTTGAGCTCTGTCTACTCAAAAGAAAAACAATGTGTAAAAAAATAAGCTGTATTCACCACTAGACTGCCCCATTTGCCATGACCTACAGTTTATCTTGAGAGTTCTGGGTAGAGTCAGACAGCGAGATCATTCTCAAATCCACACTGAGCTTCCTCCAACAACCTGCACGATTCTTTTCCTTTCCCTGCTCAAGACCAATCGCACGTGGCACCAGCTCTGAAGGTGAAGTTACCCAAATCAACAGCTACAGCCCAACAAAGGGATGAGGAGGGTAAATAACCACTACAAACAAGCCCAGTGCTCTCCCTGCCCCTCACTACTGCAGGAGGGGGACCCTTGGTGCTCATCACTTACTGGGTGGCAAGTCTCTCACCCACCGTTCCAAGAGATCATTTGGGTCTTAAAGGGAAATATTACTTATTCCTGAAGATGCTTTGGTAAGGGGCTCACACAGATCCTATCTGAACCCAGAGCGGAGGCTTCAAGCTGCATTCCCATAGGCCTCCACTGACACAACCAGGCACTGTGCTTCTAAAAGCAAAATCAGTGGGGCTGCTTTAAAGACTTGCAGCACCACAGGGGCGGGGTTAGGTGGCACCAAGGAAGAATGAAAGGAGGATGAGCTTGCCTAAGCTCAGGGACAGGGGTAGCCAAGACAAAGGATTAGTGAGTTGGCTTTGCAGTGTCTGCTGATGTAGGACATGCCACCATTATCCACCATTATCTAAAAGTAACAGAGGACTCGGTGCGTGAGCGTGTGAAGAATGTTCTAAGAACTTAAGAGTGTGGCAGTTTAAAAGTGAAACAAAAACGAACAAAATCTTAAGTTAAATGGGAGAGAGGCAGCAACGCCTGATGGTGGCAGGATCCCAACAGGGTTCAGGATCAGATGACAACAGCCCCGACAACTGTCAGTCGTGTGTGGACAAGGCTATGTCTCCTTCCCAGGCAGAGAAGAATGGGTAGTCATCATGAGAAGAAACTAGGGCAAAGGTCCCACAAAAACACGGGATTATATCCAATAATAAAGTCTCTAAATCTATTATCCCAACTCATTCAAGTGATATAAAAACCCAGACACAAAACGAGGAAAAACACACTCAAATGATGACTCAGAGATCACTTTCAGTCCAATTTGAATCAAACCAAGCAAGAAAGAGCAAGCTGTCTAGGAAAATAAATGTGTACACGATGAGAATGTTCCCACAGCCAGCAAATCCCCTGGTAAGAGGATCCGAAGGGTTCCTGTCACCTAAGACCCCTGTTTTATGCCAAAGAAACCTACAGCCAGATTGTGGCCATGTCTGAGAAACATAACTCAGTCACACATCATCTGGGGGGGGTCAGTACTTAAAACATGCTTCACCGTAAGGATGGTACCCGGCTGTTTTAGATTAACACTGCCGCACTTCTTCATAAACTTTCCTTTTCTGTGCAGTAGTGAGCTGATCTTAGCTGGGATTCAAAGAAGAAACAAGCATTTAATGAAGCTATACGCCAAGGAGCCTAGAGAATTGGGGGACCACTTGTTCACAGTGTAGAAGGCCCATCTCAAGGTCCATCTCCACAGGCCAGTCTCTGTAAGAGGTGAGGGCCACGGCCCAGGTTAAAAGCTCTACCGCTTTCTCAAACCAATACTTCTCTGTGGGCAATGGCCTTCATAATCACGAGTAAGCCCCTGTCAGTTTTAAGACAAGAAAAAGAACAACGAAGTAGAAAAGAGTAGGAATGGGGAGAGCAAGTGGGAGAAGTAAGAGATAAGAAGGTAGGGGCAGTGGAGGAAATGAAGACATCGGGGAAGGCGCTCCATGCTCTCAGGGACCATGAGGTCCACCCTAGTGCTCTAGTCTTTTCTTCCCCTTAGGGAGAAATGGAGCCCAACTCATCTGGAGGCCTTACCTGGATGAGCTCGTCCAGTTCGGTGGAGTTGATGCAGGCATGATCGGTTATGAAGTTCTGTTTCTTGATCACGATGGTGGTCCTCTGGGAAATCTCCTGAGGCTGCTCCAGCGCCTTGAACACAGTGGCTCCAATGATCAGGTAGAGGACAACCACCAGGAAAATCGTGGAGACCGTCTTCCATTTCATAACATTAATGGTCGTGTCACTCTCCACGCGGGAAGCAAGCACGGTGGGTTTGGCGGAGAAGGAGAGCCTCGGTTTGGAGTTCTGAGCGGCAGACTTGGGATCCAGCAAGTCAGGGGCCGCCACTGACAACAACAGAGAATTTGGGTTAGGCTAGAGGAGTCTGGATGCAAGGGGCTAGCTGCTTCTTTAGGGGTCAGCCGGGGCTGGCAGACCCAGGCACTCTCCTAATGGGAGCTGAAGAACCTCACCCAGCAGCCTTTTCTAAACACTTCCAGACCATTTATAGGTTCAAGGGAGGGGGCAGGGCTTCTGCTCTCTGCTGCCATTGGAGTGCCAGGTGGATGGAAAAAAACATGGGTCAGACCAAAAAGTTAAAATAAAAGAATGCCTGAGGGGGTTCCTCATTAATTCCAAGATTTGTTTCTGCCCGTGATTATGTATATGTCAGTGAAGATGTCCTAAGCTCCCAAGGTCTGATGGTACTAAACAGGATCTCTGATCACGAGGAAGGCTCATGGCTCACTCCTGCACATCAGACCTTTATGCTGTAAGCAATCAGAGTAAAGAATGCTCGCTACTTGGGTTTTCAAAATTCTTACAGTCGGGATGGTGATCAGTATGGTTCAAACAGCCTTCCTATTTGTATGCTGGGAACGCACCTCTTAGCCCATCTTCCAAAGTGAACACATTGGGAAACACTCTGCCGTCGCTGGTATGTTTAAAACACAAAAGTTATTGATAACTCTTGAGCCACAACAGCCAAGACCGAACCAAGTCCCTCTACGGCTCCAGCAAAAGCAAGAAGCAAGAAACCTAGCACGTTGGCTCACGCCCTAGATCCACCATGCTCTGCCCAAGGCTAATTGCCCCATTAGAGCTCCCAGATACTGAGAGGTGACTTCAAGTCCATCTATTATTTATCCAAGCTCTTCAAAATCATCATTAATGGGTTTCATTTTAGAAAATACAAAAGCTACTCGATGGCCACTTGTGGATGGGAAAAATAAGCCATCCACCACCGAACATTTGATTGAAGAGGCAAGAGTGAACTAATACGGCTTAACAGAATGGTCAAAAAAATGGAGGCTTAAACACCAACATGAATCACTTATAAAAGAAAGCCAGATTGCTGCCATGTGTATAATATAGGTTTCATAAAATGATAACATAACCTACAATTTACTTTTCAGTACGCAAATGAAAATCCCTATGGAATTGCACCCTACAGCTTCTGAAATTATTCTAGGGTACTAATTACTTTAGGATTCGTAAAGAGCAGCAGTTTACACGCCGCTACCGCTACCTAGCCTGTCTTCTCTAACCCTGTGTGTAAATGTAGGCTATCACAGAGTGAGATCCTAAAGTAAGTACATCTCCAGTTGCCCATCAAAAAGACACAAAAACAAAGCTATCCGATACACTAGACGAAGGGGGGGGGCTGTGAAATGAAGGCAGATGATGTCTCAAGCAGCCAAGCTCATGGTAAGTTCTGACTTTGAAGAGATGAAATCAGAGCAGACATGGGGATACAGCACCCCCCCCCAACACCGGCAGCAGCTCTTCATGGGGACTCCAGAGGGTCCTCACCAGCTTCCTAAGCGAGGTTCAACCCTCCACCCTCAAGTGTGAGCGCCTCCTTCGCCACCCAGGCACCTGTTCTGAATAAAGTCACCGACTGGAAAGTACCTTTCCTATGTTGGTAAGGGTGATGCCACTCAAAAGAAGCCCTTCAGCAGGTGTTAACTGTTTGGATTTTTACAATCTGATAGAAGTGTGCTTGCTGCAGTCCAAGATCACTATCACCTGTAGCGACTCCAGCCCTCCCCACCCTGTCTCTGCCGCTCAGAATCTGCCTGAAAAAAAAATCTAAAATTGAGCCATCTTTTGACTTAAAAACCAGAACACAACAGAGAGATACTGCACCACCTCTTTAACCAGAAAGTCCTATCCCTACCCCCACTCCAGGGCACTGATTTTTCACCCTAGGGCAGCTTTCTGATTGAGAGAATTATAAACCACCACCCTTTACCCAGCTCCAGCCTGAAATCCCACCAAGATATTGTCATGATACACCTTAAGAGAGAGTGAAAGACAGAGACAGAGAGAGAGAGAGAGAGAGAGAGAGAACAAATAAGGTAATATTAGATATTTCTCTCTCCCCCACCTCTCTCTCCGTGTGTGTGTGTTTCTGTGTGTGTGTGTGTGTGTGTGTGTGTGTGTGTTAGGCTGATAAATTTCCTGAAGGAGTTTAATTCTTTTAAGCTGTGGCCTTATATTTAATTAGCAGAAATATATAATGCACAATTGGCAGACTGAGTGGACAGAAGCTGGTAGATTACAAAATAAATATTTAAAACAAGCAGAAAGCAAAATGCACCCTTTCCTCCCCAGCTAGGTAGGCACTGTGGAGTTCCTCACCTCCACCTTTTGGTGATAGTGGAGAGGACAAGAAGCTGGCTGCTCACACACCCTCAACACCATCACTACCTCTCCCCTCCCACAGCGTTCTCCTCAGCGCACTCCTGGTCTGGAGTCCTCACCTGGCATACACCTCTTGCGCTGGCCTCTAGTGCACCCCCACCCCCCACCCCCCGCAAACAGCAGCAGAAGCGAGCTTTTTATTTTATTTCCCCCAGCACCACTGCGTGTCCTCCATGCCATGGGCAACAAGTGTGATTAAGGCCACCTTGCAACCTGCCTGCCAATTACTCTCCAGGGCTGACCCTCCTCTCTAGAAACTGTCTTAAGATGCGCCAAATCTACACCCAAGGGAGGCAAACGCAAAAACCCTAGGCACCGGCTGAAGAGCAGAAGACGGGGCCAGGAGAGGATCCGTGCTGGGGTTGAGCGCCAAGCCCGGATCACATCCAACCCACGGAATGGAAAGGAAAATGAGGAGCCACGGAACCTGCGCCGCCCTCCCCGGAGAGCGCGCGGCTGGGGTGGGTGCCCGGGGGTCTCACCTCCTGCGGTATAGCCGGGTCTCTCCCGCGAGGCGCTGGCAAGCATGAGGCATGCAGCATTCAAAATGTTTTTTTTTTTTTTTAACACAGACGTGATGGTTTTATTTTTTTTCTTTCTCTCTCTCTCTCTCTCTCTCTCTCTCTCTCTTTTTCTTTTCTTTTCTTTCTTTCTTTCTTTTTTTTTTTTTTTTTTACTAACACGCCATTGTACTCACTCCTTATTCCAAGACGGGCTGCGCGCTCCGAGCTGCACGGGCAGGCATTTTCCCCGGCTTTGTTTTACAAGGTGGGGAGAGCGGTGCTGGAGGCGGGAGGGGGGGGGGAGCGTGAGAAGAAACGAAATCGCGGGAAGGAGGGGACACCAGCGGCGGCAGACTGGGCAGAGGGCGAGGCCGAGGCCAAGTTGGGATCGGACGCGGCCGCCCCCGCGCGTGTTGGGTCACCCCGACTGCGCGGCCGCCTGGAGTCCCGCTCGGGCCCTGGGTGCGCTCGGCCGGTGGCTCCGCGCTGCCCCTGGGCTCGGCGTGGAGGTGATTACTGCAGCCCGCGCGGCCGAGCGCCCGGGTGTCTTTGTGCCGCGGCCCCGCGCAGCCCCTCTCCGCATGTCTTTGTGCGGCGCCCCGCCTGGGCCGAGCCCCGCCGGGCGCCCGCAAGGGGGGGTGTGGCCCGGGGTGGCCCGCTCGGCCTCGCAGTTCCACTCTCCCCTAGCCTAGCCGCTCTTCCCTCCTTTCCGAACTCCCTCCTCCTGCCCCTGTGGTGTCCCCGCCCGGGCTCGCCTCCCCGCACCCCCCCTCCCAGCCCTATGCGTCGACCCAGCTGCCAATACGTCCTCCCCGTGGCACCCTCGGCCTGCCTCCCGCCTGGGAGCAACAAGAGCCTCACCTGCACCCATTATCCAGCGTCCCACTGCCACCTCCTGCTCTAGCTGTCATGCATGCTTCTTCCACAGGACTCCAAGCCATGCCTTCCCGAGTCTGGGTGTCACGAAAGACCCCAGATCCCTACAGGTGAGTATCTTCCTCACTAGCGCCCCTCCAACCAGGGTGGCACAGATACACCGTCCAGCTGATGCCCTGTGAGCCTCAGAGTGACAGCAGCATGGAGATGCAGGGTCTTTGGGGCTACACTGGCGAGGGGATAAAGGAATAGTCACTGAGCTCTTGGGGCTACTTGATTTGGGCCTGGGATTCCTGACTCAGAAAGGAACTGTTCGCCAGAGCCAAAGGAGAATGGAGGAAAACAGACTGCTTTCTCTGGGACAACCCGCTACACCACCCCCACCCCAAGCCTGGGACCAAGGATGCTGAATTTTTGTGGGTGTGGGCAGATGTTGAGGGCGGGAAGACAGCCGCCCTCGGGCTGAACTTGCTCACTGTCCCCCTCCCCAAAACCCATAGAAACCCCAGACTGGTAGGCAGCAATTCTACCCAGCCTCCCAGAGTGCAGAGCCTCAGCTGTTGAACTCTTGGTGACAGGATTGATTTGAAAGAGAACTGGCCAAGGAAGGGATAGAGACTGGATGCTATCTGGGCTCTGTGGAAGAATTTCAGTTCTTTAAACTGCCCTCCCGGAAGGCACTCCACTGTGCCATCAGGAAGCCCAAGCTGACCACCACCTTCTGCTCTCATCACTATGCTTCCCAAAGCCACTGTTTCCCCAGGTACATGTAGGAAGTCACCGACCCAGGGGTAGCTGTAACATGAACCTCATAAACCATTTACAAGACGCTCTCCAATATCAACGATTTTTTGTTTTATTTTTTTTTATTCCAGAATAATCCCCGCACCTGTTCCCTCCATTATAATAAAGAGTCCATCTTGCTTCAAGTTAAGCACCTTTTTCTTTACTTCTGATCTCAAAAGTACCAGAAGTCATTTTTTAAAAAATTAGTCTGATCTTACCAGCAGACTTGGACCTTTCTGGAATTTCTGGGTTCATGCTGTTGCTTCACATGACCACAGGCCTTTCTGGGTCCCGTGGCCCTCTCTTGAGGTTTCTCCTAACACCTTCCCTCCTCACACCTTACAGGACTGAGGGGGTACATAGGCAGAGTTCTGTACACCTGTGTGCAAAAGTGCTTGCACGAACGGGGCTGTGTGTCATTTTAGAGGCTTGGTTCACACAGTTCCAGGATCTTGCAAATCCCTCTGGAATCCCAGAGCAGCTACAGCACAGCGGAAGCTTGAGCCACAATTTCATCAACTCCAGGAAGTCTCTTCTGTTCCTGCATGGGTGACACCCACCTACACGTCTAGCGTAATCTGGAGCTAACTCCACGGATAAAGGATAAACCGTCTTCACGGCAGCCCTAAGATTCCAGATTAGCATTCAGTAAGAACTTTCACACTGGATGAGGCTTCCAGAGAGTCCTAGTCTGGTGGCTCGCCCTTTGTTTGTTTGTTTGTCAGCTTCGCCTTGTCTCAGCGCTACCTTGTGGGCTCCGGGAGGGCTGACCATGTCCCCTAACACAAAGGACTAGCGAGAGACGGGTGCTGAGTTCAGGACTGCTGGCACAGACATTTTCATTCTCCTGGTCTTTCTTCAAACATGCAGAGCAAGGATACCCAACTCATACAGGGAATGGGGCAAACTCTCCAACTTGAAATAATTTTTCCGTGCACAGCCATTTTGCTGCCCACACTAAATGGCCCCAGGCAAGCCTTTCTTTCACTCCATTTCTCCCTCCTCCCTTCCATTCTTTACCTTCCCTAATTTGTTCCAAACCCTGGTCATCCTCTTCCCCTGCTGGGTCTATCCATGCCTTGCCTCGACTGGTCTCTGTCAAATAAGTGCGTGCTGGCTACACTGCAGCCCTGTGCGCATGCTTCCCATTGCCGCCCCTGTGCGCATGCTTCCCATTGGCGCCCCTGTGCGCATGCTTCCAGGGCTCCTTTCTCCCCCACTTGCAGGCTTTAAGGCGCACCACCAATCCCAATGGATTCCGTTCTCCCTGTCAGTTCATTGGCATCCTCTATCTGCAGGGTGCATTGGCTGATGTGGGGGGGGGGGGGGTATAGGGGGATGGGGGCGGGAGAGCTGGCTCAACAGCTAAGAGCATTTGCTGTTTTCGAACAGGACCCAAGTCCAGATCCCAGCACCTACATGGTGACTCACAACCATCTGTAACTCCAGTTCCAAGACTCCCAAGGCCCTCTTCTGACCTCCAGGGGTACTATGCAAACCGGGTGCACATAAATACATGTAAGCAAACACTCACACTCATGACGCTCTCTGAAAACAAGACAGAAAATCAGAAAGGGAAGACTCTAAACCATATCAGTGAGATTTAATCCAACAAGCTAAAAGCTAATCTCCACAAATAATCAGAAGGGATCACAAAAGCACCCAAGTCCCTGGTTGACTCTAGCCTCCTCCCCACAGCAGCCCCTCAGTCCTCCTGCAGCACCCCTGCCCCTTTAAGCAACTTTGTATGACAAAAACATGCATAAGAGTGTTTGAAATAAGAGGAAGAAGACCAGATTGTGTGTCGCTCAAACTAGAGAAACAAGGAAACGGGTTGGATTGTTTTATTAACAATGTGCACACCAACCTCATCAGAAGTGTAATGGAAGGGTCAGAATTGCTTGCCTCATGTAGCAGGGATTCTAAATGCACAAGAAAATTCCAAATACATGGTGGAAAGATGGGGCTCCCACCGAGCCTCCTTCTGGCCCTTTCAGAATATATACAGTGATTCCCACTTGCAGCCTGAACTCAGAACTTCAGTCTCGTGTTAATTTTCCTCTTTTTGATCTTGGCCTACTTGAGATGCCCTAGTGGGGGAAAAATAAGAAATGAGCATGCTTCTGTTTTTCATTATTTTGAGCACATCAAAAGAATTCTGTGAGCATCCTACCTCCACAGCTTCCGAATTGTGCACATCTTTCTGATGGTCAGTTTCCCGATCTACAAAACAGGGAGCATTCACTGCACTCACAAGAGAAGGGTGGAAGAGCCAGGTGAGATGCCATTCACAATGTCACCTTCACCTTCCTATAACGGAATACTTGAGGTGACTAACCTAGAAAGAGAAAAGGCTTATATTGTCCTATAATTCTGAAGGTCCCATTTTATGGGACTCTAACCTGGGCAGTGTATCAAGAAGATGGAGGTGCCATAGTCACATGACTTAAATCATAAATAAAGAAGCCAAAGGGAGAAGCCTGGGGAGCCGGAGTCTCACAAATTCCTTTTGAGCCAACCTTCCAATGACCTAAGACTTTCCTTCAGGCCCCACTACCTGCAAGTCCACAGCACTTCCAGATACTGCCACACTGAGATCTTAGCCTTCCACGCTGGAGCCTTAGGAAGACCTTCTGGATCTAAACACTGGCATCATTTACATGTTTAATATGATAATTTACCAATTAGACTAAACACATGAAAACGGGAGTTTTTGACGAAGCCAGATCACCAACAAATTCCAACTCCATAATATATTTTGTCATTTATTTAATCTTCTAGGAAACACCATTCTAAAGATAGGAGGAAGAGTAAAGCATACAGGTCAAATAGTCACAGAGTGCCTGCTACACCCTGAGCAGTTCCATAGACATAGCGAGCACTCTGTCTTCAGGATGGCTTGGTCTAAAGAGGGTAGGTCTATGTGAACACACGTGTAATGTTTCAGGACACGTCACTGAGAAAGCTGAAGAGCACTGTGGCCGTGTTTTAGGTTGAAAGCTCAGAGAAGGCCTCTTGGAGGGAGTGAGCCTATGTATGAGGAAGTAGCAAATGCAAGGAAGGATCTTCCCCAACAGAAGGGCTTGCCAAAGGCCTGTGGTGGGAGACAGCTGGGAGAACCTGGGGAGCTCCGAGAGTCGTGGCAGGTGGGGGATTTTTTGTGTGGTAATGAAGTAATAAGGGCGGCAGGGCTGCGTTCTCAGCACCCCCGGCCGCCTGCCCGGCTAGCTTATGCCCAAAATAATTGCACAGACACTGTATTCTTTTAATCACTGCTTGGCCCATTCTCTTCTAGGCTAATTCTCACATATTAATTTAGCCCATTTCTAATCATCTGTGTATGGCACCCCAAGGTGCGCTTACCGGGAAGATTCTAGCCTATGTCCATCCTGGGTCGGAGCTTCATCCCAGGAGCAGGGCATGGCGTCTCTCTCAGGCGTCTTCTCCCAAGAGGAGAGCTGTCGAGACTCTGACCTCACTTCCTCTTCCTCCCAGCGTTCTGTCCTGTCTACTCCTCCCACCTATCCTCTAACCAATAAAATGGGCCAGGGCAGTGCCTTTATTAGCCAATGACCTTCCTCCATCATTTCCCCTTTTTCGGTTTAAACAAAAAAAAAGGCTTTAACATAGCAAAATTACATATAACAAAACAGTTATCAAGTAAAAGTTACAATAATCTTTATCATAACTAAGGAAAACTATAACTATAACTATTCTTAACTCCATCAAAGACTCCAGAAAGATATAATATTACCTAAGTAAACAAGAACTAAGAAACTTCAAACTCTAGAAATGACAAAGACATCTCTCTGCTTGGACAGTCACCCAAAGTTCTTTTGTACCGTTGGGGCATCCATCTTCAGCCTTCAGGCCCATGGTATCCAGCAGACATTTCCATAAAGCAGGAAAATTCAAAGTCAGTTCAGTCACTATCTGTTGTGTCCTGCAGAATGTCTCGCAGACTCTTTCAAAATGAATCAGGATCCCCGAAAGATCATCTCACCTTAGGCAAGTTCAGTAGTCCTCTCTCTGCGGGTTCTCTGTGTCCAGTTTATGCAATAGTCCAGGCAAGAGCAGTTGCTTGCCCAAATGGCTATCAAA